CCCCAAAACCCCAAAACCCCAAAACCCCAAGCAATAAAAAGATGAAATTTGAGAGAAAAGTGTTTAACAGAATAGATATTTAAAAATTCAAATTTTAAATTAAAAATTCAAATGAAACTTTCAAAAACATTCCTTCTCATTGCATGTGGTGTCGCATTAATCTCAGCATCATAGAGCAGGCTGCGAAATTTAATCAAGTTTTTACCTCAGTCACAACAAGTGACTAAGTCATGCACCACAGCAATCGACAGATCCAAAGCTGCTCTTCCTGATTACAAGAAAATAGTAACTTCTTATGCAAATTTTTGGAATGATACCGGTTTCCCAGCAGATGGATCATCAATCTAATGGACTGGAACCAAATACACATAGAACGAACTAAGTGCCTACGTTGGTAATAAATGGGAAAGACTGAACAATCTCTGTGCTGATTGTACACTATTCGGATCAGCTGATTACTTAAACGATATAGTCTAGGGTGATCTAGGTGATTGCTACTTCTTAGCAGGAATCTCAGCAGTTTCTGAGATTAATACAAGATTTGAAAAAATATTTGTCAATCCTAATATAAACTGGGCTGGTCTCTACGCATTCAATGTATTCATTAGAGGTATTCCTCAAGTGATGCTAGTTGATGACTCTATCCCAGCTGGAAAATACGGCAAGAAAGCAGTTTTTGCAGGAATAGGATCTGACAAATCAATTTGGGGACCTCTCCTTGAAAAAGCCTGGGCCAAAACTAATGCTAACTATGAAAGAATTGTGGGGGGAAATGCAGTTGAAACCTTTGGCTTCTTTGCAAACATTCCTGGTTAACAAATAACTTTAGCAAAATTAAGTAAAGAGGCTCTCTGGACCAAAGTTACCTAAGCTGACAGCAAAAACTGGATTATGGCTCTCGGTACTCCATCTTCAAAAAATGGCGATTCAGATACTTGCAAATTCAACCTAGCATGCTCTCACTAATACTCATTACTCTCAGTAAAACCATTATTGACCAGTGATAGAACACAAATCAACTTGTTCCAGATTAGGAATCCATGGAGAACGGACAAAGATTTCTCTGGTTCGTTCAAGGATGGCTCAGCCAAATGGCTTACACCAGGTGCAGGTGGGAAAACCTTTGGTCAATAAGCAGGACTAGTCGTTGCTGATGATGGTGTCTTCTATATGACAATAGATGAAGTTACATAAGCCTTTGAAGGAATTGATATTGGTGAATACAACGATAACTTTGTTACTTCATGGTATGACAAAAGAAACGATTAAGTGGCAAATGAAAATACTCCTGCGGTCTATAAATTCACCCTTACAGAGGCAACACCAATGTATATTAGAGTTATGACCTATCCTTCAAGAATGTATCCAAAGACTTGCATAAATGATTAAGCATTATTTAAACTTGTACTCTAGGATGGATCAGGAAAAGAAGTTTAGACTATTTATTACTATGAATATTCCAATCTATATATGAGCTTAGTTGATACACCACTTGCTTCTGGTACCTATACTTTGAAATTCTACCCTAAGTGGATAACTGGATAAGTTAAAGATTACGGAATTATCATCAATGCTGCTAAAGATATCGTTATAACAGATAGTTAAGGTAAGACAAGTAGACTATCAAATCATGATTTGAGTAGCAAATAATTGAAACCTAACGTTAAATAAGCTCCAAAACCAGCAAAACCTAAGCTTCCTGATATCACATAAACTGGTGCTGCTTATGAATTGACTGGAAATCTTGATTAAGATATAGCCAAAATCAGAAACTCTAAATCTTTAAGTATTTCAAACTAAGATGATGGGCTTTATCTCTCTGGACAAAAATCAACTCTCATCGGCGGTAATAGATACGGCTTAGCTATTTTCGTTGGTACTTTAAGCGATGAATACACTTACAAAGGTATAGTTACTGTTGTCACAAAGCCTGGACACACATTTAAATTCACTGCAGGTAACGATAAATGTACAGTCAAGAATAAATCATCTACTAAGGAAGACACCATCGAATGTACCTGCTTGGTTAAGCCAGATACATATCCAAAAGAATGCTTGCTAGTTCTTCTTACAAAAGTTGGAAGTGGATATCAAAATAGCGCATCATACAGTGCATCAGGTTGAAATGCTAGAGCATAATTCAATTAAGTTGGATTTATAAATTAACACTTAATTATATTTTCTTATTAAACTCTTACTATATTTTATTTCATCAATTCATCTAACATTAAATGAGAGATCGGGGTTTTGGGGTTTTGGGG